TGGACTTCTATGCATTTTCGAACACGAGAGTTCATACTGTCAATTAATGACTTCAAATAATCCAAGGAAATTCCGTTCCAAACTTCTTTAATTGCATCCTTTAAATCATCTAAATTTTTTGATTTTTTCTTTTCCACTGCTTTTTTCATTAACCCCCACATATTTTTAATGGGGTTTAGATCCCGTGAATTAGGGGGCCAAGAAGAAACATTTATGTTAGATTTTTTAGAGTTAGCTCAGCTTCAGAAAGTATTTGTTTGAATTTTTTATTATTCACAGTGCCCTTGATTATAAGCAATGATGTTTTACCTTTGGAACTAATCGCCCCCCAAACCATGAGACTCTATTTGATCTTTGGTTTGCTAATTCTCTGTCGTTTCTTTGCTCATCAACCTTCTCGAGTTCGAAATAACTCAAAATGACTCTCGTCACTAAATACCCATTGATTCCATCTCTTCACACTATTTTACCCTACTTTCTTGTTGAACAGGAGTCAATGGGCTATGATTTTTGGGAACAAAACTGAAGTACCCACTTCTGTTAAGATAACAAGTAATGATTCTGGGAGCAACCTTGGGACTACCTTTTTTGATTAATTCAATTTGAATATCTCGGCGGATTGTGTGTCATCTTTTTGAGCTAAGTGAATCAATCGTTGTTGGTCCTTTAAGTTAAGTTTTCTTGGTCTACCACTTCCTTACTTTTTCTACAAGCTTATTACTTCCCTCATTTTCTTTATATATCTTGCAACTGTTGCCTTAGGTATCTTAGTTAATTTCATCAAAGACTTTAGGTCTTTGTGTCTTTATGACCCGCTTTAAAAAGATAGTCAAGTGTCAACGCTGACAACTTTATTTCTAAAATAAATATTTTTAGGTAAATCAGAAATAATAATGAATATATTTGCAAATGGGTTTCATCAAATACAAAAAAAGTCATTGTAAGACTCGCCAAAAATTGTAAAAATACTAACAAAGTTTTGCATAAGCGGTCTCATGTAATTGAACTGGATGACATTTCTAGTATTTGCTTCATAACATCATCATAATTGGCAAGTAATTGAACTTGTGAAAATTTCCACTATAGTTGTCCAAGAATCCTTCTTTGACGGCCACGAAATGCTGGAGAATTTTTAGCTAGCATAAGTGTTATACGTATTAAACGTTCCAAAACCATCTTACAAAAATTGGCCTTATATCGTATTTGTTCCTCAGCATTTTTATTAATGGTTTCATTTTTTTTTCACATTTCATTTACTACACATGTTTCAATGTGTTGTTGGGAATAATTATGTGTTTTTATACGTGGGTACAAATTTTTCCAATCTCTTATACCAGAACGCCATTGACTATTGATATTTGAGAACAGCCAGCAAGGTTCATAATATGCATGGTATTGGACCATATTTTGCCATAGAATGATAATACGTTTCTCTAAAACATCTATTTTGTTGGGAAGGATATTTAGAAAACGGTCTTTTTGGCCTATGGGGTGAACGATTTATTATTAATCTCTTTTTTTCATAAGAAACATTTTGATATTGCCCAAGATCAGTTGTAATAATTACATCTCTTTCTGTTTAAATAATATAGACACTTTGTGTTTCTGTTAATACTTTCCTATTTGTCACTTAACTCTCTTCTAAAGCATCTGCTAATTTGATATCATCATCATGCCCCTGCTTAACCATTCCGTCATTGTTGTCTGTTGTTGATATATATGCAACACTGTCTTCTCTTTCTGTGCAAAAGAAATCAAGTTTTGGTAAATTTTCCAATTCTTCTTCTTTTTCTTTTTTTTTAAATGCTTTTCTCATTGTTTTAGTTTTCTTTTATATGCTTCACTTATCGTTTTAGATTTTTTTAAACCATCTATATTTAAGTAGGGGTGACTTCAAATTATTAAACAGGATACACAAAAACTATTAAAATCTAAGTGCAAAAAGTTAATTTAAATTTTATCTCATACCCAAAAAGTTAATTTAAAGATTATCTCATAGCCTGCTGCTACAAGGGAGTGTTGGTACATCAACTATTTTATAGCCTGACTCGCGATGGAGTGCTGCTACATTGACTGAGAAAAAGCCTGACTCGCAAAGGAGTGCTGCTACATCGATTGAGGGTTTGGTTGTGGGCAAATAATCTATCATTTAAGAAAAAAAAAAATTATTCAAGTTTTTAAATTTGGTTTATTAACGTGCTCTTTAAAACTACAGTTTATGGGAAAATCTTACTGACTACCATGCAAGACTATATATATATATATATATATATATATATATATATATATATATATATATATATATATATATATATATATATATATATATATATATATATATATATATATATATATATATATATATATATATGAATATATATATATATATATATATATATATATATATATATATATATATATATATATATATATATATATATATATTTATAACGAAAATAGATGTCAATACCTTTGAAACTTACGAAGGAAACATAATGATAAAATTTGATTTACAGCACCTAAAATCAGAATGCAAAAAACTTACAATATGCAACAATAATTTTTATCACATCACTTAAAAATGTTAATATAGAAGTTACCAACTTTATCAATAATCATGCGAACAATGAAGCTCTAAAAGAAAGATTGTTATTGCAATATGAGGAATGCAAAAATGAGTATTAAGAATTTAATGATAAAAAATGGGCGAAAAACTTTTTAAGAGAACTTTTTTCATAAAAAAAGTTATGAAAAAAGTTCTCTTAAAAAAGTTCTCTTTCTACTAAATCAGCTTTCATTAAAGATCGTCTCAGTTAGCCGAGCCTTATTCATTGTCAGTCACTCAAAAAAAATTTCATTTAATTTTCTTTTACATTAATTTTTTTTTACATCCCTACATCCCTAGATTAATTTTACATCCCTAGATTAATTTTCTTTTACATCCCTACTATATAATAACTATATAATAATATTCATTAAAGTCTCAAACTTATTGAAAGATTTAACTATCAAAAAGAAACGAGAAAAAAAAAAAGTAAAGAGAAAGTAAAAAAAAATTCTGCAAGCTTTAATTCTTTATCAAGAATTAAAGCTTGCAGAATTTTTGTATATATATATATATATATATATACAAAAATATATATAATATGTCTATATATATATATATGTATATATGTATATATATATACACATATATTAAAAATATTTTTTTTAATTTAGGAACTTGGTTTTTCTGAAGTGGAGATAGGTTAGTTCTATGCAGTTAAACATGTGTAATACAATTTTTGTAGATGAAGGTTTCTTAGTTACTGTGCAAGCTCACTTGTAATTTACTATAAAAATCTATTACAGTAATTTACCTTTGCAATTTACTCACCTGTAATTACTTTTTGAACCTTTGGTGCTTTTAAATCTCTGATCCTCTGAGTAAGTTACTATAAGTATGTTTAAGTTCTATCTGAACCTCTGGCGCAGTATATTTGTTATTTTTATGTTTTTGTTCTGCTCAAATCTCTGATGCTCAATAATTAACTAGATCCTCCAATTATATAAAACCTTTCATTTTATTATTTTGTTAAATGTAATGTTTTTCATTATGCATTTCCAAAATACTTTTATAAATGTTTTAAAGTACTGTTTACAGGGAATAACTTTTTTTAATTACTCCAAGTCAGATCAGGTCAGAACCATGATTATATCACCCTACTGCTGGCATAATGTAAATCAGTACTAGCTGCCCCATGTCCTGCTGCATTGTAGGGTTTGATTTTTTTAAGCAAAGACTAGGAGAAACAAACTTCAACTTTAAAATATCCCCAGTTGTTGGTTAAGTAAAGGCTAGAGTAGTGTATTTATAAAAATAATCATCTTGGGTAGAAGCTAACTGTATCCAGCTATTGTCTAGGAGAAAGGCTCCTAGGCAAAGACTTAAAGGGTAGGCAGAATAATTCTTTTGACCAACCTTGAACCTTATTTTAATCTTTTAGCTGGTTTAGATATAAAGCTGTGGTAGATTTTTTTCTGCCATGGATGATGAACATTCTGACTCTTCTGATATTTCTGACTCTACTTATAGATTTTTTGCTTGTGCTTTCTTGATAATGGCTATGCAACTCTTCTTATCTTCTAATGAAGCTACAGCTAAAATCTCAGTTTAATGGTTCCAAGGTTGGCTGGTTGTAAGGTTTCCCAAACTCTGTGGTAGCTCTCAAAAAGTCTGACTCCATCAACACCTTTAATATATCAGAGTATTAATAGTGCCATGTTGCACATGGGTGTCCTCATTAATGTACACTAAAAGCATAACCCTGCTAATGTGCCAGAATTATGTCCAATGGGAGATTTTTGGCCTGAACTTAAGAGATTAGTGTATAATAAAAATTGGCAAGCTGAAAATCTTGGTAAACTTAAAAAGGAGATCTAGTTTTCAATTAAGAAAATCAACATAGAACATGTACATCAACTAGCTGCCGCAACATTTACAAGAGACACTGTTCATCCTCATAGCATAAAAAACTTAAAAAAATTTATATTTTATTAATTAGACATTTTTTGTTATTATACTTTTTAAACTATTAAAATTGATCATTTCGTTAAAAAGTTATACAACTTCTAATTTCGTCCAGATTTTTAGTTATCACATGTTAGGAAAAATGTTTGGAAAACTCTGAGAAGGATCTGGAGGCAATCTTGTTTATGCTTTTAGTGTACATTAATGAGGACACATAAAAAACCCTAAGTAACAACTTTGGGTTAATTAATATGTTTGAGACAACTTCATAGCTTATTGTTTCGAATGTTGTGCTCTATCTATGAATGAGTTAAGTTCTCTTCAAACTTAAATCATTCTTAAAATCATCAAAAATATTAGACATAAAAACCCATCCCCATCACCTATTTCAATATATCTTTCAAAAATCTTCATGGTCTTTAAGGTAACATTCCATCAATTGAATCTTACCACTTACAAAATTCACCAGACTTGCTTGCTCTTTGTGAAACTAATTTAAATTTGACTGTTTGTCAAATTTAAATTAGTCTCAATATTGAGACTAATTTAAATTTGTCTATATACAATGTTATCTGACCTTCATCAGATTTCAGTATTGATGAGTACTATCCTTTGATTCACAAAGATTCTAGTAGTCACATGCTTGGTTCTGATAGTTACTTACATAGCTTGTGTTCAGTTTCTCCTTGTTCTTTTTTAGGTGAATCTAAGCATGCAATGATCTCTATAAATCATTCATCTTGTGCTTCTGACTCACTCTGTCATCACACTTTTTACTACCTCTTTAAAATTAACTGGGATTCTTTTTGTGATTTTTTTTGTGACAATCTTTGGTCTAATATCTGTTCTCTCTGCACTGATAAATGTGCCTCATTAACCTCCTGGACCCATGCAGGTGTGAAAGCTTTTTTTTTTATATTGATTCCAAGGCAAGCCTCATTCTACTCTTGTGCAGCTGCTATATCTAATTGTAATCATTTTTTTTATTTTTTTCAAAAAGTAACTCTCTTCAGAACAAACACCTATTTATTATTCCAAAAAATTGATGTAAAAAAGTTGCTGTCTGAAACTAAGCTCCATTTTATAAAATTCCCATTTTATAAAATTTTAACTCTAGAAAGGCTCTAGAGATTTTTGGAAAATGTTCAACAAATCTTTATTATTTAGTCATTAGCAGCGTCATTAACAGCGTCATCAACAGCGTCATTAACAGCGTCATTAACAAAGTTAGGTCTATTCCACCTCTAATTTGTGGGACTGATCTTATTACCTCTCCTGACAAGGTTGAACTATTTGTAACAAACATTTCTTCTAACTCGACTCATGAACCTTATGACCATATTCTTCTTTCCATTTCAGTTAAACAGGTTAAGCAATTGTTAGACATTTAAATCACTCCAACTTTCATTACCTCAATTAAACATCATATCTCAATTAAACTTTTGTACGACTTGTGGTCTAGACAAAATTCCTGTCATAGTTTTACAAATGTGTTCTCCAGAACTCTTTTCAATTCTCTCTAAGCTATTTAATAAGTGCTTCACTGAATCTTGTTATTTTACTTGCTGGAAAATAGCATCTGTTGTTTCAATTTTTAAAAACTCTTGATAACATTCTAATCCCTCCAATTATTGTCCAATCAGTCTTCTTTCTGTTATTAGCACCTTTTTATCAGTCTAATTCATAATAATTTTATGAATTAGAAAATATAATATTATCATTGTTGTATTATAATAATAATAATATTGTTTTTTTTATTTAGGAGCAAAGACAGGGTTACTTGCATCAGCAATGTTTATGTGTATGATATTTAGCAGGTGCAAACAACTTTAGTAATAATAATTATTTTTGACAGCTTTTGCAAAAGTTTTTTTTTAAAATTTTTTTTTATATTTTATTTTTATTTTGTTTTGTTTGTTTTCGAAATGATTAAACTTGTTCTTAAAGATCTTCACATCATTAGAAGTATTTATTTCTTCTGTTAAATTATTACATTTATTAACCATTCTGTCTGTGAAGAAGTTATATCTTATGGTAGAATGTGTGAGTTGTTTGTGTATTTTCTGTATATGACCTTTTGTTATTGCATATTTAATTATTGTAGGAGGATGGTGCCATTGAACTTTATCCTTATTTTTAATTATTTTTCAACATTGAATGATATTAACTCTTGCTCTTCTTGTTTTTAAAGTTAAATCTTTTTAGTCTACCTTGAAAGCACTGTTTAAATCTTTATGTAGCCTTACATTGTATTTTTTTCATAGTTTTAAATTTTTTTAATTGAAGTTAATTAGCTATTTGTTAAACTGTCTTAGAGTGTATTAATGATTGAAGTAATTTTTGTGTTGACTATGTTTAGTTTGCCACAATTAGTAATCTAATGTGTTATATCATTTATATAAATGACAAATAAAAGAGGTTTAATAACTGATCCTTGTGGTATTTTGAATTATTTTGGAAACTCTGGCAGATTTTCATCATCAAGAGTAAAAATTGTACTGAAAAACTTGTTCAGTTTGTTAGCAATCCATTTTCATTCTCAAGAGTTGAAACATAAACTTAAATTTGATTTATATTTATATTATATTGTCATTTTAAGATTATTCTTAGCATTTTAAACCATTAGTTGTATTCTATTCTTAGCATTTTTAAACTTTATGGATTTTTAAACTTTATGAATTATATTTTTAAACTTTATGGATCTTAGCATTTTTAAACTTTATGGATTAGTTGTATTCTATTCTTAGCACTTTTCACTATTTTGTCCTCATATTTAACAATTGCATTTTTAATAAACTTTTTTTGTTGTGTTTTTGATATTTTTATATTTTGCCTCAAGTTCTTGATCTCTGAATATTGCATTTCTGTACATTATTCGTGAAACCTTTTTTGTCCTAATCTTTCTCAATAGGCTTTTGTTTAACCTAGAAGCTTTTTTCCTTTTTATTTGATTTTAAATATTTAAATTACAAATGTTTTTATAATGTTCTAACCATTCTTTGTAACACTTGTAAGCATTCAAATTTCTTGAATATTTTTATAAGAATATTAATTTGTATGAATTAGGGTAAACTGAAAATGATTTTTTTTTTTAGTCTTATATGGGGATATACTTGTGATAATTGGGGAAGAAAACTTTCAGTATATCTGTGTGCTGGTGGTCTTGCTCTAACAACTATCTTGTTTGGATTCAGCTGCACCTACACATGGGCCATTCTCTCAAGATCTTCTCAAGGCTTATTTCTAGGTTTAGTTTTTAAAGATTTTAAGAAAATATAAAAAAAACTTTTTAAAAATTAGTTTGTTGCTTAAAAAAAGTATTTAATAATTTAATAAAAACTAGATATAATAAATAGAAATAATATATAATAAGTAATAATAATAAAAGAGTATTTAATAATTTGATTAAATGTATAAAATATTATAAAATAGTAAATGTTACCTAAAGCATGATGTAAGAAATATGTTATATTACATATAGCATGATGTAACAAATATGTTATATTACAGGCATGTTTTTAGAACTTTGTTGTCTTTTGTTGGGCAAGCAAGAAAAGGTTTTTTTGGTAAAATATAGTGATTTCTTTATTTTTGTTAGTTGAATGAAACATTATATTTGGGTTAGGGTTATTGTACCTCAAACTCAACTATCAGAATATTTTGTACATTTACATTAAATTCATTCTAAAACTAGTAATTCTATTCTATTACTATTAATTGATTTAATCTAAGATTGTTAATTTTCAATTTTTTTTGTTGAAATCTGTAGGTTTAATTGGTATAACAAAAGTAATAATAACAGATGTGTCAGATGATTCAAATCTTGGTGTTGGGTTAACGTTTATGTTTGCATCATATAATCTTGGTTTGATTGTTGGACCAAGCATGGCTGGTAAATTTTTTAGCAATGTTGTAATTTATAGCATATATGTTGTGAAATAGATCTTTTTATTATAGAGATATTATGTAAGCATAGAGATGTGACGCGTTTTTTTGGTTCTTGTTTTTTTGGTTTTTTTGGTTCTTGTTTTTTTGGTTTTTTTGGTCGTTTTTTTGGAAAAAAAACATAGGGGTCCGTTTTTTTGGTTTTTTTGGGAAATAATCAAAAATTCATTGTTTAAGTTACTAAATTTAACTTTAATGGCAATATCTTAATTCATATTTTAATTTCTGATTTAAATAGGACAATAAATACTGAAATTTACTGAATTAATTTTTGTTTTGGTATATTAACACGGTTAAAGGTTATCACGGTTGAAGCAGTCTTGTATAAAAACTTCTTTGATAATTTTATCTTCCTCAACTTTATCTTTACTGTTTTTAGTGTATATTGACACAATAAACATTTATTTACATTTATTATATTTAATAAAATTTAACAACTAATGAATGAGACTTAGCATGATAAAGAGTCAAGAATGAGTTTTTGTTAATGGAACTAGAGGTAATAACTATTTTGAGCAGCCGCCATGATAGAACTTGTAGGAAAGAGAAAGAGATGCAACTTTACGACAATGGGAAAGAGGCTCAAGCTTAGCAGATAGAGCTTGTTTAGAAGAAAAAGGGCATCATAAGAAGAACCAGCCCAAATATGACAACAACATCCCATACAGGGACAAAAAGATATTTGTAGAGGTAGAGAATGGAATCAAGAAAACAACGATAATGATAAAGGGATGCTAATTTAGCAATCAATTGTATATTTTGTGTACATGAAAGGTTAGTAGCAAATAATATTCCATGAAGATGTAAAAAAGAAGACTAAGTAAGAGGGTTACCATTAATTAATATAGAAATGTCAACAGTATTGTGGTCGTTGTTTGCAGTAAATAACTGAGTTTAGTTAGAAATAAAATTTATAAGCTAAAATATGTGAGCCCCAATCTGTTACAGAAGTAAGATCAGATACAAAATTGGCTGCCTATTCTAAGTGATCAAAAAGAGAAGACTTTTTTTCAAGACAGGAGTAAAAAATTTAGTCATCAGCAAAAAGAGCTACTATAAATGTAGGGTTGTCAGGAAGATCAATAATGTAGATAAGAAACAAAACAGACCAAGAATAGAACCTTGAGATTAACCCCAGAAGTTACTGGAAATAAATAAGTAGGCATTTGACGATGATTATAATAAAGCAGTTAGAAAGAAATGATTTAATAATCCCAGATACACAATTTCAAGTTTCAAGTCTAATTAAAGTTTAATTGTTCAATATTTAGTTCATACTTAAGCTCATTTTCTATTCAACAGGTCCCTAATATTGTTTAAATGGTCTCTAAAATGTTTACATTAAAAAAGTCAACTTATTACTCAAATAAAGAGAAATTTTATATAAATCTTTTCTGAATTAGAATCTAAAAATAGATTAACACAAAAAATACTGACAAAAAATAGATTAAGACAAAAAATACTTTAACACTGAGTAGTGATTTTTAAAGCACCATAATATCTATATATACATACATATATATATATATATATAAAGAGAAATGGATATCTTTAAATTATTAAGTAAATTTTTTTTTCTTGTTGGTAATCAACAGAAAGAACAAAAAGAATTACGATTAGGCTCTCCATACAGGGGGCAGAAATAAAGCCTTAGTCACCCATTAAACCTCTGAACCAAATTAGAAAAATGGAAAAAGATAAACAATTCTTTTGCCATAAGATTGTCTAAAAATTGAACTTAAAAAACAGAGCATATTAAAGAATTTTGCAAGTGTTCTGATATAGTGCTATATGAAAATATTAAGATGAATAAATGTAATTAGAAAAAAAAAAATGCTGTTAAAAAATTAATTACAAATAAATAAATTACGAATTATCAGGTGAATGGGGTCTGGGAAACTCCGTAAATAATAATAATTAAAAAGTTTTTAAATTTTCCTTGAAACTAAGTTCAGTATAGTGCTTTTTTTTAATGGGCATACTAGCAATAACTCTTTTTTTGATATAACAAACAAACAATGTAAGACTTAATTACTACATAATATACAAATGCTTAATTAAGTTAATAATCTTGATAGATAGCTTATTTTTTTGAGCATTTTAAGTCTGATATCAAATTTGCATGGTGTTATACATTAATGTATTTACATTATCAAAATTAAAATGGTAACTTTTTTATAGAATAAGAATAGTTTTTATATATAATGAGAGTATCACAGTTGTTAGTACAATAAAACAGAAAATAAACATTTTCATACAGTATACCTAATATATAACTAACTTAAAGCTAATTTAAATTTTTTATAAATTTTTTTTGTTAAACTGGTATTTATACATCTAATTGTGCCTTTAATGGCCAAATACTAAAATTTATACTAGATTAAAGGAAAACTAGTCCTAAATTTATGTAAAAAAAAACTGAAAAATTGTTTAAAAAAAGCAATACAACACCAAAAAAACCAAAAAAACACCAAAAAAACCAAAAAAAACCAAAAAAACATGTTTTTTTGACCCAAAAAAATGCCAAAGGAAAAAAACGCGTTTTTTTGCAACTCTATGTAAGCATATGTGATGTTATGTAAGCAAAAGAGATATATACTTGTTTTATAGAGGATTGAATAATAATCTCTGGATGATTGAGGCCTAGATCAAGAATCTCTGGATGATTGAGGCCTAGATCAACAAAGGAAACATTTACTCAACCCAATGAACAAAAAATATTTTCAACCATTTACCCTGGCTAAATTATTTTTGTCAACACCACATAGCGACATAAGATAATATAGCAAAATCAAGTTTTAACATTTAACAACTCAACAATAAATTAATAACCAACATATCAAAATACATCCTAACAGACAATGAAAGGGGATTTTTAAGTTTGGGATTAAATTTTGTTCTTTTAATCACAAATACGCTTCCTAATGTACACGTATTAGCTTTTGAAATGTTAAATACAACCCTTCTCCATTATCTATATGTTGTGACCAAAGAGATAGTGTGGCATTGATTTCCCTTTTTTTTTTATAAAAAATTGCAACTCATAAAATTAACTCTCAGAAGTTCCAACAAAAAGTATAGCAAGAAATGTTAACAAACTTATTTTTTTTTGACTTTCATTTAAACTGTTTGGTCTTAAATGGTCTTCCCAAAATTCGTAAGATAGATACACCCTTAAGATCCATTTGTTTCTCCTTGTGATAGACAAACCGACAACCTATCTTTCTGTATCACAGAATTTATTCAGCCAGTGGCTGAACAATTACTAGTATATTTTAAAGATACCACATATTTCCTAAATATTTAAAGATACCACATATTTCAATCCTATGTACTAGCATGTTCTATTTTTGTATACAAACATTCCTCATTGCAAAGGTATTGACGTCGTAAATTTTTATTTAAAGAGAACATCAGCATATAAGGGACCCAAAAATGCCTTCCTATTGATTATATTGACATTGCATAAGAAACCATCTAAATCCACAGCAACTTTCAATTTTAGACTGATTACTTTTTACATTTAATAGGAGTAACCATGGGAACACAACCATAGGCCCGGACTATGCTAATTTATTTATGGAAAATATAGTTGAAAAAGTAATTAACCAATTTTCAGAGTGAATTTCTTTATATAAACGGTTTATAGATAACATATTTTTATTTTTCATTAGCCTCCAGATGAACGAAGGCAAGTTTTTTTAATTTATGAATGCACCCACCTAAATCAAATTTACTTTCATTATTTTTACCAACTCTATTAATTTCATGGACCTAGCAGTTATCAAAAGCTAGATAGACAGTTCAAAACAACAATACACAAATTGTCAGGTGATACAACAGCACTATTAAATTACAACTCATTTCACCTTTACTCATCAAAAAAGCAACATAATATATAGCCAAGTGCTAAGATATAATAAAATGATAAAAAAACAATTACAACCTAATAAAATAGCTGACAGACCCGTAGCAACTGGGTGGGCAGCAGGGGCATTTGCCCTCCCAATAATTTTTTAAATAAATAATTTTGAAAAAATTGACTGAAAAAATGAGTTTAAAAAAAAAAAAAAGGTCCCTATTCAATCAGTTAACAAAGATTTATAAAAGCACTGTGATATACCCAACACAAGTCATAACATTTCAAAAAGTTGGAAAAATTATTAATCAAGTCATTCAAAAATACTGAAAGGTTGTTGATATTGTTCTATTTTATTATGGTTATGTTATGTAAGAAAATACAAAATACCTATTTTATAGAGGATTGAATTCTAATCTCCAAATGATTGAGACCTAGAATCCAGTGTATTGATACTAAAAGCTCAGAGAATTGAAAATTACCAATTCTTTGTAAAAATAATTTTAAATATGAAATAATATGAAACTTTAAATGAAGGAAGAAAAAATAATATTTTATTATAATATTAAATTTTATTATTTTTGAGTAAAGATATGTGTTTGCTTGATATGATTTACTTTTTTATTTTAATATTGTTTATTATGAAAACTCTATACTTTTCATGACTAAATGTTTGTGTGTGTAACATGTTTTTATTTGTGCGTGTGACATGTTTTTATTTGTGTGTGTGACATGTTTTTATTTGTGTGTGTGACATGTTTTTATTTGTGTGTGTGACATGTTTTTATTTGTGTGTGTGACATGTTTTTATTTGTGTGGGTGACATGTTTTTATTTGTGTGTGTGACATGTTTTTATTTGTGTGTGACATGTTTTTATTTGTGTGTGACATGTTTTTATTTGTGTGTGTGACATGTTTTTATTTGTGAGAATTATTGAATAATATTTGTTTTGTTTATTTATTGTTCTTTTTTAATGAAGTATTTGTTTTACTTTTATTGTTTTTATTATGATTATTGATATTAAGATTATTATATTTATTAAATCATTGTTACTTTTTTTTGCAGTAATTATTTTAATTTCATGGTAGGTTTTTTTTTGTCAGTACATAACTGTTTGTGACTTTCCTGTCTGTGCATTATATTCAATTGTTGTTTGAAAAATTGATATTGGTTTATTATCATACCATTTTCTTATTATTCTTATAACTTTTATTTTGTCATCATTATTATTATCATGATTATTTGTATTATCAATCCTATTTCATGGTATTTACTTGTTACTAGTTTTTAACTATTTTTAAATGACCTCGATTGTAAGATCTTTTATCAAAAATATATATTGATTGATTGATTAAAAATGAGAAAACTGATAAATTGAAAAATGTAAAAATTTTGTTCAAAATAACTAACTTTAGAATTTAATGAATTCTAAAATTAGTTATTATTCCAAGAAGTAAAAGAATTAAATTCAAAAAGGTAAAGGTAATTAAAAATAATTTTATATATGTTAAATTTATTAAACGTGAATCAAAAATGAATTAAACACCTAAATATATAAGAATATTAATTTTATGTTGTTGTTTTTAGGATTTTTAGCATTTCCTGCAGAGAAGTATCCACATATGTTTTATAAAGGTTTTATTTTTTTATATTTACCAACATTTGACATTATTTAAAAAAAATAATTGTTTATAATTTTTATATAAACTAAATAAAATGTTTCTTTTTTTTTTTTATTCTTTTTTTTTTTGTATCTTGATTTTTTTTTTTAATTTTATTTCAATTCACATCCCCAAGGCCATAAAGACCACTACAGTCGAGGAAGCTATTTTAATTGTGGTTACCACCCTCTCTCAACTCTCTATCTCCAAAACACAAATCTTGATAAACAAGGCTGCTGTGCAGAGAAACAAGTTGAGTTTGGACATGGTGGGGATCGAATTTGGAACTTCTTGTTTATGAGGATAGCACTCTACCACTACACCACTACCATATGTTATAGATTTACAAGTTTTACCTAGAGATTACAAATTATTGTAATAAGACAACTGCACCAATGTAAAGGTTTTTATATCAAATAAGAGTTTAAAATAAAAAACTAAGGAAATTTTAATCTCCTAAATAGTAATAGAATGCCATTTTTAATTAGCAGTTGAGAAAAGGGTTGACCTGGTCAGCTATAATGGTTAGTGTTAAAGTACAAATTTTGTAAAAATAGCTTTTTAGACAAAATTTTCATAAAATCAGTATAAAAATCAGGTTAATGATTACATATGTATGGTAGCCTAACTTTATTTTATTTTGTTTTGTTTTTCTGTTTTTTCTGTTTTAGTTTTGTAACTTTTTATCATTTTTTTAGATTCTTTTATCAGCAGACTAAAGATATTAATACCGAATCTAATCCTTTCTGTGTGTATTTTTATATCTATAGTTGTTACCATTCTGTTTGTTCCGAAGAATACCCAGTATATAACTTATTTTCAATTTATTTTTGGCTTTCAGTTTTAATGTTTCTTTAAAAAAAAATTTTTTTACTTTTCTTTTTTATTATACTAGAAAAAATGAAAACAACAAAAAGATTATACTTGAAAAAGATGATTCTTTTACATTGAGCAAAGATGAAGATACTTATTTAAACTGCTCAATATTATCTAACTCATATTCTGTCAATTTTTCTGGAAACTTAGATTCTCTAAAACAGAAAAATACTTTGATAGATTTATTCAGGTACATATATATATTTAGTAAAAAGATAACTTGAAACTTTTAACCTAAACAAATTAGATAAATTTAGTTATGTGAGATGAATTAATTATTGATTTCTCCCATGTGGCATGTGAAAACATCATAAAAAAATTACATCCTTTTAAACTTGTAAAATCTCTCAATTATCTATTTTTTTAACTAATTATTCAAAGTATTATTAAATTTTTGTTAAAAAATGTTTCTAATTGTAATACTTATTACAATAATTTTTAAAGATTATATAGATGAAAAATAGGCAGAACATGTGAGGTACACTCTTCATTCATCGACAAATAGGTAGAACATAATAGGAGTGCTGCTATGTTGACTGACAAATAGATAGAACATGCAAGGAGTGCTGCTCCATTAAATTAGAGTTTTGGTTTAGACAGTTATTCTTTTTATTTAAAAAAAAGTCTTGTTTTTTAATTTTAATGAAATATGGTAAAACCTTCGTCCAATCTCTAAGGTTTGTATACATACCCTACCCTAATACCCTAATGAATTTTGAAACCACCTGCTTCTTTAAAGATCCGCCACTGAAATGGATGTATATTTTTATGAAAAAAAAAATGTTTCCTTTTTTTTATCTTTTTACTCTTTAAGGAATCTGGATTTTGTGATTGTGCTGGTATTCTATGGTTTCCAATCGCTAACTATTATTGCATTTGAAGAGCTCTTTCCAGTTCATGCAGCCACTGAAATTAGCTATTGTAATTTTTTGTGCATGTTTTTTTTTTAATGTGTAAACTATATGTAGTTAGTCATATGTATGTTTACACATACATAAGGCTAACACACTCTCACTTGCAATCACACAAACACTTTATTTTTGATTGTTTCCTTATAATACACTAGAAATTTATTATTACTTTGTTTTTAAATTTTATGTAACAATCAATTTTATGAACAATCTAGCTGGATATGGAATGTCTGAATCAGAAATAGGAACTGTTTTTCTTATTGTTGCATCAGTTGTAATAGTTCTTCAGCTCACAATTATAAGAAATGTGAGAATTTTTTCATCATTTTTTTTTTCGTTACTTTTTATGTGTTTTTTAACTAATTGAGTTAAAAAATAGAAAATAAAAAATATTTAAATTTAAAATACTAATAACAAGAAAAATTAAAAATTAAACTTATCATGGTATGACCATGCAAAAAATACTTTGTTTTTTTGGTATGGTTTTCATGGTATGGTAACAAAATTATGTAAAAAATAGAACTATATTATCAAATTAATTTAATCTAAATAAAATAACTACTCAGTGTTTCATAGGAAGACGTGCGATCACAGTTATATGACTATGCAAAAAATATAAAAAAGACTTTCTTTGTATTAGAAAGTCATTGTTTATAAAAAAAAAAAAAATTATTTTTTAATGTTTATTATAAAAAATGCATACTTAAATAATTTATATAATATAAATTTAAAATATTATATACAACTGTCAATGTTTATAATATTTTAAAATATTATATACAACTGTCAACTTCAAAAAAATCATTATCAGTAAATTGTTACTTTACTTTAAAAGCGTTTTGCTGATATAAAAAAGTTTGTTAAGAAGTTTTGATATAATTTATTTCACCTAAGATATAATTCAGAATATTTATATTCAGTGCGTTTTTGAAATGTTTTTTGAAATAGCCATAGTCAAAACCTCAGAGCAAAATGTAATTTGCCTGGTCATATAAGGACGTGCAATCACACGTCTTCCTATGAAATACTGCTACTATAAATCTTAGTAAATCTTTTAGTAGCTGTTTTTTCTGTGAAACACAGTTATAAATCTTTTAGATATAAATAAATTTTATTTTAAGTTAATTTTATTTTTTTTTTTTTTAATTTTATTTTTAATATGTTATAATCTTATAATAAATTTTAATTTTTTTCTATAAAAAAGTTTTCTTGTTTTTGACAATTGTATCAAAAAAAAATTTCTAACATAGTCAATGTTAAACTCATAAAAATTTCCTACATGGTCAGTGCAGTTAGGGGATTAATTTATAATTTTATGTTCGGACAATTACAATTTTGAGCATGAAATTTTTTATCATTAAATTAAAACATTAATAAAGTTTATATTTTGCTTTTTTTATGTTTGTAAAAATAGTTTTTTCCAGAATTTTTTCTTTTTTTTTTGTTGTATTATTGTTTCTAGGTTCCAACCACTGTTATATTTTGTAAAACATTCTTATAAATATTATAGTTATTTAACTAAATATCAATATTTTATGTATTAAAAATTTATTTTTTAGACAATGAACAGAATTGGTGCTAAAAAGGTACTTTAAAGTAATTTTGTCTAGTTTCAATGTTTAGCACAGTATTATTGAAGTAAAGCTTTTTTCAAATTTTCTAGATGTTGTCTGCAGCTACTCTAGGGTTTGGCTTTCTAATTATTTTAATGCCAACAGTTGGAATGGTTAAACACAAGTAAGTCTTTTAAACATAAATTAAAAAAATTAAAAATTATACAAGATATCAATTGAGAAGATGTTTAATGAAAGATCAATATGTAAAGATAATTTAATTTTTTGAAATAAGTTGTAATAAAAATTACAAAGTAATTTATATTTGCCTTCTTTTTTTAATATCAAACCAATTAAATAATATTAGTGGAGATAAGGGCTGCTCTGACAACGAGACGATCTATTCTCAAACCCCAATGATTATGGGACTTTTATACTTAAATACTTGCTATCAAAAAAGTCATTACAATCATATTTACAATGAAATTGTATAGATTAATGACATTTAGATTTTGGAGCTTTACAACTTAATTTTGGCCTAGGGCTCCGATAAAAGTATTTAGGAGTTGCTTATAAATCATGTCACACTTTATGGGAGGGGGGAGGGTAAGGTGAGGGAAAGGGGGGGAAGTGTGAGTGGTTATGTGACTTCTCATACGAGACTTGTAACTAAAGAATTACGATGTTGTGACAAGGAGGGGGCAAGGTCTAAAACGGTAAAAAAATTGCGTGACATAATTTGCGGACAACTCTTAATAGTTATAATAGTACATACTAAATGAACAAACAAAAATTAAAGATAAAAAAGATAAATGAAATGTATAAGTATTTTAGGATTTTTACTCGACTAAATTCGACTTTTAGCCAAATAGTAGGAAGTCCTTAGTCGATTAAACCGATCTTTCAAAGTCTACTCATTTCGACTAGTTGGCTTTTAGTTGATTTAGTTGAAATCAAATACATAAATATGTAAGTTGACTTTAATAAAAGTATTTAACTATTTTTTAAATACATTTTGATATAATAATTTATTAATGATTTTTTGCTGACCTGTTGTGTCTCAACCGAGATAATGAGGGTAATGTTAAAACAAAAACTTGGGGACCGATTTTGACAAAACTTTAACTGAGGTCGCTATTATATTATTTTATTGGTTTTCAAATTTTATGCCTTTTAATTCTTTTTATATTGTTTAATTCTTTATTAAACGGTTTATTTTATGCTATTTTGCAACATTTTTTTCATTACCTGATGACGCTGACCACAATTGATCAGTGGAATATCCTTAATATATTATTACATCAAAGCATATTTAAAAAATAGCTATACGCTGCCTTACATATGCATATTGTATTACAACAATTTGATTTTTAAAGATCGCTGCTCCTTCTTGCAAATATTTTAGAATGTAATAAAAAAATCACAAAATTTGATATTAAGTGCAATTGCAAAAAAATGTACAATGAAAGAATACATAAAAAAAAGTTAGTTCATGCTCGAAATACAAAAGAAAGATTATATATAAGTAAGAAGTTAATTGATGAATTAAATTTATATCTTCAATCTCAAATAAGATCTAATGATTATGAGTTAATAATATAATGAACAAATCTAAGACTTACCAATTATTTAAAGAAAACTGAAGTAAAAGAAAAAATACTATAAAGTGCAAAATGACATCAATTGTAAAATCAGTTTTGATAAAATTCTTCCCAATTAAATTTTAAAACCAGGTAAACTAAATTTAACAAATATCTATAAAAAGCAACTACTGAACTACTTAATCTTGGTCCAAAATTTATCACATTAAAAAAAGAATATTCCTTATATGTGCATAATCACTAATATTGAAACTTTCCCCTTACAACAACAAAATAAACAAACACATGCAGAGACTCTATGATAAATCTATTTGAAAATTCTAACTAATTATTTAAAGTTAATAAGATATAACAAAACAACAACCTTTTTCTATATCAAACCTAAAAAAGCATTCACATCTAAAGTTATATCTGTTTGTCAAAGGAACAAGTTTTGCTTTATTATAAAAAAATGAGGCAAAAGGTAAAATAAGAACAATATAACATGATGCACACTCTTTTGGTTGCACATGGTTGAAGCAAATATTTTGATTTTTATATGAATTTAAGTGAGATTAGGCTCTTGTGAGTTTAAGTGAAATAATGCATAACTCATAATTATTTAAGCAGGTTGTTTTTCATTGTAATCATTTTAGAAATATAATAATGCAATCGAATGTTTATTTTGCTTCAGGTTTTTTTAAAGTATAAAACAGTTTTTTCATATTTGACATAATCATATTTTGTCTCAATCAATAAAAATATGCTAAGATTTGATTTTGGTTTACTTCTTGCATATGTATTCTCAGTTTTGCAAATAAAATTTATTTTTACTTTTAAAAAGTCATAAATAGTAGCTAACTAAACACTTTAAATATTGCAAGAATAAAAAGTGTGCAATGTTTTTAAAATAGTTTGATAATGCACAAAAACGATGCAGTCCATAAAGTATTTCAATTTCCAACCATTTTTCGTTAAGTTCCTGTACTATTTTGCCCACTCCAGCCTTTTTTGCATCATTTTTGGTGTCAGTTTAGACTTCTTAGCTAGACATTGTGAAATGTAACCAAGATCATGCAGGCAACATTGAACAGTTCTCTTTGACATTTTGACTCCAGATTGGTCTAGCTTTTTTGATATTTTATTGTTGGTGGCCTGCCTATTTTCTGGAACAATCTTGGTAAGTATTTTTACCGGTTTGATAATAAAAATTTTTTTTCCACATTTACAAACCCTCTTTGGTGCCAAGTTCTCTTTAATCTCTTAAGTAAAATTATTGACTCAAAACCTACATTCATTACTAAGTTTCAAAAACTTTGATGTAAATGAAAAAAATTTTCACACATATTTTGTAAATAAAAGAAATATTCTTAATCTTTTTTTTTTTAACTATTATTTATCTTTAAATTAAATTAAAAACATTCCGGTTGTTTAGAATGTCTGCAATCAAGCATTTTAATTCAACTCCAAAAAGGAAACAAAGTTATGCAGTTAGGGCGTCCCAGAAAAAAAAATTTGAATTTAATATTGTGCACTATGTCAATCCTCCTTATTTGGTCCAAGTAGACCATCATAAAAGTATCAGGACTCAAAGTCACTGTTTAGTTGAAGAAGGTGTTTTAGAAAAAACTTGCATATAAATTTTAATGTTTTTTTCCATTTATTGATTGAAACTCCAGTAGTATTCAATATTTTTATAAAAATCAAATTATTATAATCAAATTAACTTTTAGTCAAGTTAATTATCCAAAACATTTATTTTGACTGCTATTCCTTCTGCAACTTTGAAAAAGTTTCATAATTATTTTATTCTTTATTATAATTGCATTGTTTTAAAATGTTTTGCAAAATAAAATACTGCAGAATACAAAAAAAATTTGGTGGTGCAAGAATTACTAAACTTTGGTTGGAAAAAGTATATTTTAAAAACAAATATATACCCATAAAATGCTTTTTTATCTAAATATTTTTCAAGTCTTGTTTAGAGGCATGTTTAGACACCTTCTGCTGGTTGTCTAAAACAACCATCATTGTGTCTTGGAGCCTGTCTTTGGAATAAATCCTTCTAATGAAATACTGCACCAGTTTGATGTGTTTTTCAGCCTTGTCATTAACAACTGCTAATTGATGTACACTTGTCATTAACAACTGCTAATAGACGTACATAAATGTCTTAAAAGATTTATTGTTGAAACTTTTTTCCTAATTTGACATTCCTTCTTTCCATTAGAGAATGTCATTTTTAGTTATACCAAGATGGAGAAAAAAGAGACATTCCTGAGAAGCAAAGTCTGATAGTTTTGAAAAGGGAAAAACCTGTGTAAAAGGCTCTGGTTGTTCTTTGTCAAAGTTCTTCATCTCAGGAACATCTCATTTTAACAATTCCAAAAGAATATCTATTCTCTCTTTCTCTTCTAAGCACTGGTCAGCTAAAGCAAAGATAACTCACTGTGGTGTAAAAAACCAACTGTGTCTGAGAATATTAAGATTAAGAGCTTTGCCAATCTTTCCGTACTTCTTGGAGTAAAGTAGATCTACCAAGAAGATCATTGGATAGAGCCTGAGCTGCCATTGGGTTCTATAGAAATAATAAACAATGAAAGATCACAATATAATCTGTTGCATCCTGTATCATCTTAATCTCATTGATACTAAGTTGCTTGTTGAAATTCTTAGTCATTTGATTTCTAACAGATACAATGAATCAGCCATAAGTCTTGCTTTATGGTGTGCGCCTGGTTGTTGAAAGCTGAAGTTCAACAAATCTGCCCCGACATAAAAAGCAAACTCAGTTCTGTTCTAATCAAATGATGTAGCAACACTCTGTTGCATGTCAGGCTATAAGATAGTTGATGTAGCAACATTCCCTTCTAGCAGCAGGCTATAAGATAGTGAATGTAGCAACACTCCGCGCATGTTTTAAAAATATATTTTAACAAAACAACAACAAAAACACTATTAATTAAAAAAAACTTTCTAGTCATTATAATTGCGGTTTTCAAAAAAAAAAAAAAATTTAATGTACTTCCGCATTAATTTAATTGCTTTGACATTTTGACGACAATAAATACAGCTTAAGGGGCGAGGTACAAAAATTGTAGTCGAAAGAGACTTTTTTTACCATAAGTCTCTTTTGACTACACTATAACAATACATATATATATATATATATATATATATATATATATATATATATATATATATATATATATATATATATATATATATATATATATATATATATATATATATATATATATATATATATATATATATATATATATATATATATATATATATATGTATATATATATATATATGTATATATATATATATATATATATATATATATATATATATATATATATATATATATATTTATGGCTGATTCATTGTACAGCTTAGGAGGCGAGGTACAAAAATTGTAGTAGAAAGAGACTTTTTTTACCATAAAAGTCTCTTTTGACTACACTATAAGGATATATATATATCTATATATATATATATATATATATTATATATATATATATATATATATATATATATATATATACATGCATACATTTATATATTATTTATATGTATATATATATATATATATATA